CCCTATATACACATGACTCCATCCCCCTACACAGAGTATGCCAGCCTTGATGTGGACAGCTGGTCCAAGCTGGGCCACAGAGTCTTTTTACCCTGCCGGGAGGGCACAGGAAAAAGGAAATTAACCCTAAGGATTAAGAGGAGAGAAAGCTTTTAGATGGATCAAAGGATCATGGGAATGGGGTGGATTCTCTTTAAGAATTTGGAACTGGGGGCGCCTGGGTGGCTCAGTCGGTTGAGCGTCCAACTTCGGCCCAGGTCATAATCTCACAGCTGGTGAGTTCAAGCCCCACATCAGGTTCTGTGCTGACAGCTCGGAGCCTGGAGCCTGCTTCAGATTCTGTGTCTCCCTCTCTCTCTGCCCCTCCCCTGCTCATGCTCTGTCTCTCTCTGTCTCAAAAATAAATAAAAACATTTAAAAAATTAAAAAAAAAAAAAGAATTTGGAACTGGGGACTCAGCTGGCCAGTGGCACATGGGCAGTAAATCAATGCTATGGCTGGCCAAGGCCATGCTCAAGCCCTGGTTTTGAGGAAGTGAGAAAGAAGGCAAACTGTGGTCAAACATGGAACTGGGCATTTCTTCATGGTACAAAGGTCCAGGCTAGTGTGAACAATCATTCCCCAAATTCCAACCCAGAAGAAGAGAGATCAAAATCACTGGCAGAATAAGAGGCAACACATAGGCATCCACAATCCACTAGTCCTAAGACACATTACGGCCGGGGCCCACATCCAACCGGACACTCCTGGCTCGGCTGCCCCGGCACCCGGCCACCCTCTCCCCCAAGGAGGCAGGCTCAGCCCCTACATCAAAGCTGCTCTGGGGTCAAGGCCACATGGAAGCAGAGGACTAGAAGGTGGGGTGAGGCCACATCCCACTTTCCCCTCCCTGCCCAGGAAAGGCATCAACCACCGTGTGTTCACCGGGACTTACAGCAGGCCAGTCCCGTGCCCTCCAGTACATGGGAAGATGTGACGGAGCCATTCGTGCACAGAGAATGACTTGCCACAACAGGATCACACTGAGAACCGCAGGAGCTTAGAGGCAAGAAATGGGAGGACCGGAATTAGAGCAAAGGCTTGGCTCACAGGAGGGCAGTGGGTGTGTGCTGCTCAGAACTATGGCCTCCAGACTCCAAATCCACCCTTCTCCACCCTGCACTGTGATCCTGCAGCTGCATCCTGTCATTTCTCCTTTATCAGATGGTTTGTTATTAGGGGACTCTGGAGGGACACTGAGGCCACAGAAGAGCAAGGAGGTCCCATTACCAGAGCCAGTGTGGCATTTTAGCTCAGCAGCTGGCAGGCCAGTGGCTTGAGGGTGCTCCCTTCAGTGGCCCTCCCAGACCAGACCCGCCTCACTAAATTTTCCCATAACTGGCAGGCCCCTCTTATGGCCCAGCTCAAGCCCACACCCTCCAGCCAATTGTTCTGACCAGCTACCAGAGGGTTCCTATACATTGTAGGAGTGTGGCCCAGAGCTAAATTGCACTGTCACCCAGGAGGCTACTCCCACAGACCCTGGCTTCCACCATGTCCCCTCACCACTGGGCAGACCTCCATCTCAGCCCTGCAGGTGGGAGGCCCTCAGCTGAGTTCTGTCCTTATTCACTACCCTTCAGCCCCAGAGGGAACAGCTGCTTTATATGCTTACTACTTCTGTGCCCTTAGAATCTTTTTTCACCCCTCGAGTTAACTACCTTTTACTTTTCCTAATTAATCATCTTTTCTATTAAGTTTTTGCCACTCAACCCTCTTGCACTGTTGGTGGTAATGCAAACTGGTAAAGCCACTGTGGAAAACAGTATGGAGGTTCCTCAAAGTTAAAAATAGAACTACCCTACAATCTAGCAATCATACTAGTAGGTATTTACTCAAAGAATACAAAAACACTAATTCAGAGGGATACATGCACCCTGATGTTTAAAACAGCATTATCTACAATAGCCAGACTATGGAAACAGCCCAAGTGTCCATCAACTAATGAATGTGTAAAGGAGATATGATATACATATAAATATATATATATATACATAAATATACATATATACACACATACACAATGGTGTATATATGTACGTGTATGTATGTATACATATACAGAGAGATAGATATATACATACACACACACACAACAGAATATTACTCAGCCATCAAAAAGAATGAAATCTTGCCATTTGCAATGGCGTGGATGGAACTAGAGTATATTATGCTAAATGAAGTAAGTCAGAGAAGACATACCATATGATTTCATGCACAAGTAGAATTTAAGAAACAAAACAAAGAAGCAAAGGAGGGGAAAGAGAGAGAGAAATCAAGAAACAGACTCTTAACTACAGAAAACAAACTGATGGTTACCAGAGGGGAGATGGGGGAGGGGGTGGGAGATAAGTGAAATAGGTGATGGGGATTAAGGAGTGTACTTGTTGTGATGAGCACTGGGTGCTGTATGGAAGTGTTGAATCACTATAATGTACACCTGAAACTAATATTACACTGTATGTTAACTAATTAGAATTTAAATAAAAACTTCAAAAATAGTCAAAAAATAGGGTGGATTCTACTCTAAACTTTTTAATACAGTGTGTGTTATACAATTTACTTACACAATAATCAATGTGAAATAAAGATACCAGAAATGTAAAAAACTTTTTAAAAAGTCTTCCCCAGAGAGATTACTGGTGTGAATGGTCCCTGGTGGATACACAAGATTAGTCCTTGAAATCAAATTTGAATAAATTAGGATAAAAAGGGCACTTCAGATCAAGAGAGCAATACAGAACTACGTATCTGCATGCATGTATGTGTGTTGTTGAAGACCTAACTTCGTTTTCTTTAGACTGGATTCACATCTGCATTTGTCTCTGCTGCTGGCAGCCCTCAGTAATATTCTAGGGGTGCCTGGATGGCTCAGACACTTAAGAGTCTGACTCTTGATTTTGGCTCATGATCTCATGGTTCAGTTCATGAGATCAAGCCTCGTGTACGGCTCCACACTGACAGCATGGAGCCTGCTTAGGATTCTCTCTCTCCTCTCTCTGCTCCTCCCATGCTCACTTATATGTGCTCGCTCTCTCTCAAAATAAATAAACTTAGAAAAAAAGAAGGAAAGCATCAGACTACTGCCCCTCACCTGTGGCTTGAACCCAGGATACCTCTTGGCACAAAGTAATGGTCACCTTCAAGACACTGTCTGGGCAATACGGGGAGCCCTCTCTGGTCACACAAGCCCAGGAAAGCTAGTCAGTCCCCAACTCACAAGCTACTCGGCACACAGCCACGGGGGCAGAGACCATGTGTGTCCCTATACGCTCTGTGTACCTCAGGGCAAGCTGTCCATGTGCCATAAATGTAGATTAATGACAACTATGGGTTATATACTCACAAAACCGCCATCCATGAAGCTGAGTCAGCATCTACTGCAAATGGCACCCACATTTCAACTAAAGAAGCTCCAAAGTCACCTTCAACCAGCTTCTAAATACACACACACACACACACACACACACACACACACACACACACGAAGAACATTGCCACTCACCAAAACTTACATTCTTTTAAGGCCAAAAGACACAAATGCTGAAGAATAGAGTAGGGCCTCTGATCTCCAGGGTCCCTTTTCAGCTCCAGCTCCTAGGGCTTCACTGTCCTTTGGGATCAGAAGGTGGGTCCCATTCAAAATTTCAAGAAACTACTAGCTTAGTAAAAACCCCTCTTTCAGCATTTACTTCCTTAATCTGATACCTTAAGGGGCAGTACCTGCTAGCAGCAGGGACCATCCACAGGGATCCCATGGTTTCTACCACCCAGGAACCTTTCCCCCAACAAGGAGCGTGCTCAATGAAAAGGCAAAGCTTCTGGAATCTTGGATCTCTGCATTCCCCTGAATCTACTCCTTCATGCTACACATCTTCAAGCATGCACCTACATAGGCAAAGGCAGCAGGAAGGACGATGAAAGTTAGTTTACACTAGTACTGTACAACAGAAATTGCTGCAATGGCAGAAATGTTCTACATCTGCACTGTCCAATAACACAGTGGCCACTAGCAGCTACCAGGGGCTGCTGGCCGCTTGACATGCGGCTAGTGTGACTGAGGAACTGAATTCTCCATTTTTTTTTAATGTTTAGAGAGAGAAAAAGCACAAGCGAGGGAGAGGGGCAGAGGGAGAGAGGGAGGGGGGAGAGAGAGAGAGACAGAGAGAGAGAGAGAGAGAGAGAGGGAGAGAGGGAGAGAGGGAGAGGGAGAGAGAACCCCCAGCAGGCTCCACACTCAGCACAAAGACCAATGCAGGGCTAGATCCCATGACCTTGAGATCATGACCTGAGCCAAAAATCAAGAGTCAGATGCTCAACCAACCTAGCCACCTAGGCATCCTTAAAGTATTTAAATTTAAATCAGGGCAGCTGGGTGGCTCAGTCATTAGACATCTGACATTGGCTCAGGTCATGATCTCACATTCATGAGTTTAAGCCCCACTTCAGGTGAGCCCTGCTTCTCTCTCTTTCTCTCTCTCTCTCTCTCTCTCTCTCTCTCTCTCTCTCTCTCTTTCCCTCTCTGCTCCTCTTGGGATTCTCTCTCTCTGCCCCTTGCTCACTTGCTCCCTCTCACTCATTAATTATTAATTAATTAATTTAAATAATCACATGTAGCTAATGGCTACCATACTGGACAGCTCAGGATTATAAATCAGTAACAACTATAATAAATAATCATTTATTTAGTGCCTTGGTCTACGTACTATTCCTGGCCTACAGTAAATGCTGAAATATACGTGGTTGATACTGTTTTTAAATCTGCCCCACATATCCATAAAATAGATCTTAATATGTGTCTTTAAAGATGACAAAATGATCTCAGAGAGGTTCAGTAACATTCCCAAGGTCCTAGAGTCAGTAAAGGGTGAAATGGTGGTGTGTTCAAGCATGTGCCAGGGGGCAGGCATGAACTGAATTTCTCCACGTGTTCGCACAGTGGGAATGCAAGCATTGTGGGGATGATCTTCGTGGGCAAGGAGTTCACCATGCAGACCAAGAGGTGGCCACACACCATGACACTAGAATCACCGATGGCAGGCAGTAAAGGTAGTTGCCCAGTAACTCCCAGGTATGACAGCACCTGGCTGGCACCAGGGCGGCCATGGAAGTTGAATCAAACGTATACATTTAAAAGGCCAATGAAAACTGCAGACGGCCTTGAACACAACAAGACGGGAGTCATAAAACATGATTAATAGCAATGGCTTTGGAATTAAAAACACCTGAGTTTATTTTATTTTTTTTTAATTTTTTTTTCAACGATTATTTATTTTTGGGACAGAGAGAGACAGAGCATGAACGGGGGAGGGGCAGAGAGAAAGGGAGACACAGAATCAGAAACAGGCTCCAGGCTCTGAGCCATCAGCCCAGAGCCGGACGCGGGGCTCAACCTCACGGACTGCGAGATCGTGACCTGGCTGAAGTCGGACGCTTAACCGACTGCGCCACCCAGGCGCCCCAAAAACACCTGAGTTTAAATCCTACTTTGGGGGCACCTGGGTGGCTCAGTCGGTTAAACGTCCGACTTCAGCTCAGGTCACGATCTCGCGGTCCATGAGTTCGAGCCCTGCGTCGGGCTCTGGGCTGATGGCCCAGAGCCTGGAGCCTGCTTCCGATTCTGTGTCTCCCTCTCTCTCTGCCCCTCCCCCGTTCATGCTCTGTCTCTGTCTCAAAAATAAACGTTAAAAAAAAAAAAAAAAAAACATATTAAATCCTACTTTGCTACTTACCTGCCCTATAACTTTGGACAAGTTAATTAACTTTGGGGCCTCAGTTTCCTCATCAGTAAAAGGAGGAGAAAAATGGTGACTGTCACTGTGATGGTCATATGAAGCAATTAATAAAAAGGAGTTTTAGTACAGGGCTCAGCACACAGTCATTGCTCAATATATGAATCAAAAAAGATGGTGGGGGGAGTGGAAACCACTATTCCAAGAAAAATGAAATTGAAAATAAAAATAAAAAAGAACACTCCAGGCCCATCCAAACTCCCTATATTTTGTTCAGACCAACAAGTCTAGACCACAATCTAATAGAAACAATAGCTAATTTCATGCTCTGTCATCTAAATGGCAGAGCATCCATACACAAGAAATGCAAACAGCGATACAGCGTTATTCTCAACACTGACTTAACTTTCTCTGCCCCAAGACCCTACTTCCTCTACTACCCTAACACCGACCACCCATCAGCTCACTGACCCAAGTGCTGCCTTAACCAAGCACCTGGTTTCTCTGGCTGGTTGGGGGTGTAGCTGCAGCATGTCCTCACTGCAGAGGCCTGACATTCCCGCTTCTGTCCCTCCCAAAATAACGGCAGGAACAGCTGGCGTGGTCTCCCTGCCCCTCCTCCAACTTCATTTTCACTCCCAGCTCAATAACTTGCCTTATGATTATCTCATTACCAATAACCTTGCTGTAATGAGTTTTAACCTGCCTTATATTAATTAAAAGCATTGTTATTAGCCAGCTTGGTTTAGAGTTTTGAAAGTGAATAGCTAATAAGATCAACTCAGTACTGATTAATTATTGATTGGGGGGGAGGGAACAAAGGCCCAAAGAGGGCAATTCTTGACTCATGTCTAAACAACCAAGAGCAGGGGCTTGGGCCTCCAAACTCAGCAGGAAGGTACCAAAGTCAAAGCCTTTGAATCAACAAGGCTCCTCATCAGAACTGGGCAGTATCTTTCTGTGCCTAGAGCCTTCCCACAGCCATCGTGAACATTCCTAAAACCCACCGGACTTTCTGCAAGAAGTGTGGCAAGCACCAGCCCCACAAAGTGACACAGTACAAGAAAGGCAAAGATTCTCTTTATGCCCAGGGACAGCGGTGTTATGACAGGAAGCAGAATGGCTATGGTGGGCAGACTAAGCCGATTTTCCAGAAAAAGGCTGAAACTACAAAGAAGATTGTGCTGAGGCTTGAATGTGTTGAGCCCAACTGCAGATTTAAGAGAATGCTGGCTATTAAGAGATGCAAGCATTTTGAACTGGGAGGAGATAAGAAGAGAAAGGGCCAAGTGATCTAGTTTCTAACTTCATATTTTGTTACATTATGAAGACAATAAAATCTTGAGGTTATGTTCAAAAAAAAAAAAAAAAAAGACCTGGGCAGTATCTTTAGTGGGGTTGACTATACGTGTTTGTGACACAAAGAGGAAAGAGACAGGCACACAGACATGCCCCATCAACACAGGAAAAAAGAGAGAGATCATGAAAGAGTAAGTAAAAGACAGACCCCAAAACAAAACAAAGATTTTTGATTAATTCTTCTAGTTAAAAATTCAAGACCCAAAGAAAACATAATAAAATGTAAACAGTAGGGGCACCTGGGTGGCTCAGTCAGTTAAGCCTCCGACTTCGGCTGAGGTCATGATCTCACAGCTCATGGGTTCGAGCCCCGCGTCGGGCTCTGTGCTGACAGCTCAGAGCCTGGAGCCTGCTTTGGACTCTGTGTCTCCCTCTTTTTCTTCCCCTCCCCTGCTCACAACTCTTTCTCTCTCTCTCTCTCTCAAAAATAAATAAACATTAAAAAATTTTTAAAAATAAAAAATAAAATGTAAACAGTAGTATCTCTAGGCTGTGAGATTACAAAAGTATTTTTCTTCTTCATAGGTTTTTCTGTATTTTCCAAATTTCTTATAACTCCTATGTATTACATCCATAATGGGGAAGAATTTTTTTTTTTAATCATCCCTCCTTCAACATCTTCTACAAATATAAAAGTCCAGCTGATTTTTTATTCAGATTTACAAAACAATGGCTGTTAAGGCATGGGATATCAGGCAGCGAAGGACAGTGATTCCTGAGCAATGGGAAACAAACAAGGTGAACTCTACGATTGTCCCAGTTCACTGCATTAAAAGTTTACAGGCCCAGCATCAGGAAAGGGAACCCAAGAGGTGCCCAGAGAACTCCCTAAGTTGAGGAGGTGGAGCTGAGAGTTCAGGAAGGCCAAAGCAACTAGGGTTCACAGGACAGAGTCCTGGGGAGGAGAGAGCTATACAAAGAAGGAGCCCTAAAGATGTGTGGAGGGCCATCAAAATCCTCGAGAAGAAAGCAGGCAAAAACCTCTTTGACCTTGGCCACAGCAACTTCTTACTCAACACATCTCTGGAGGCCAGGGAAACAAAAGCAAAAATGAACTATTGGGACCTCATCAAAATAAAAAGCTTCTGCACAGTGAAGGAAACAATCAGCAAAACTAAAAGGCAACCGATGGAATGGGAGAAGATATATGCAAATGACGTATAAGATAAAGGGTTAGTATCCAAAATCTATAAAGAACTTATCAAACTCAACAACCAAAAAATAAATAACCCAGTAAAAAAATGGGCAAAAGACATGAATAGACACTTCTCCAAAGAAGACACTCAGATGGCAAACCGACACATGAAAAAATGCTCAGCATCACTCATCATCCAGGAAATACAAATCAAAACTACAATGAGATACCATCTCACACCTGTAAGAATGGCTAACATTAACAATTCAGGCAACAACAGATGTTGACAAGGATGCAGAGAAAGAGGATCTCTTTTGCACTGCTGCTGGGAATGCAAACTGGTGCAGCTACTCTGGAAAACAATATGGAGGTTCCTCAAAAAATTTAAAATAGAACTACCCTAAGACCCAGCAATTGCACTACTAGGAATGTATCCAAGGGATACAGGTATGCTGTTTCAAAGGGACACATGCACCCCAATGTTTATAGCAGCACTATCAACGATAGCCAAAGTATGGAAAGAGCCCAAATGTCCATCGATGGATGAATGGATAAAGAAGATGTGGTATGTATACATACAATGGAGTATTACTCGGCAATCAAAAAGAATGAAATCTTGCCATTTGCAACTATGTGGATGGAACTAGAGAGTATTATGCTAAGTAAAATTAGTCAGAGAAAGACAAATATCATATGACTTCACTCATATGAGGACTTTAAGACACAGAACTGATGAACACAAGGGAAGGGAAGCAGAAATAATATAAAAACAGGGAGGGGGACAAAACATAAGAGACTCTTAAATATGGAGAACAAACAGAGGGTTACTGGAGGGGTTGTGGGAGGGAGGATGGGCTAAGTGGGTAAGGCGCATTAAGGAATCTAGTCCTGAAATCATTGTTGCACTATATGCTAACTAATTTGGATGTGAATTAAGAAAATAAAAATAAATTAAAAAAAAAAAAGATGTGTGGAGGGTCCATGTCACATATTCAGCACATGCACATGAGAAAACCACATGAGCCTCGAGAGAGAGAAACTCCAAAAGACTAGGGTTAACAGTACCCAGTGCACATATAGGCCCACTGCACCAGCCAGATTGGAAAATCCAATAATTCTGGAGGCACTTGTTATAATCCCCAGAAGGGCCTTGCCTCAGTAATGGGGAATATCCCAAACTAAACACTGCTCCATTCCCATCCAACAAATATTAAAAGAAAGGCTTGAAAAAGAATCAAACTGTTTCCAAGTAACTGAACTGTGTGTCCCAGAACAAAGCTCAAGAGTATAAGAATACAAAGGGCACCTGGGTAACTCAGACGGTTAAGTGTCTGACTTCCTCTCAGGTCATGATCTCACAGTTTGTGGGTTCAAGCCCCACATTGGGCTCTGTGCTGACAGCTCAGAACCCGGAGGCTGCTTTGGTTCTGTGTCTCCTTCTCTCTCTCTGACCCTCCCCCACTTGTTCTCTCTCTCTCTCTCTTTCTCTCTCTCTCTTTCTCTCTCAAAAATAAATAACACATTAAAAAATAAAAATAAAAAGAATACAAAAACATCTAACACCCCAAAATATAAAGGTACAATGATGTCTAGCACCTAATAAGAAATTGCCAGGTATGCAAAGAAGAAAAATACAAAATGAGAGGAAATCCAACCAATCAAAACCATCTCAGAGCCTCAGCAATAAGACAACAAAAGAATTAAAAGGCATTCAAATTGGCAAGGAAGTCTTCAACTATTTGTAGAAGACATGATACTCCATGTAGAAAACCCAAAAGACTCTACCAAAAAATTGCTAGAACCAATATATGAATTCAGCAAAGTTGTAGGATATATCAATGTACAGAAATCTGTTGCATTTCTATACACCAATAATGAAGCAGCAGAAAAAGAAATCAGGGAATCAATCCCATTTACAATTGCACCAAAAACCATAAGATACCTAGGAACAAACCTAACCAAAGAGGTAAAAGATCTAAACTTTGGAAACTATGAAACCCTTACGACAGAAATTAAAGAGGACACAAAGAAGGGAAAAACATTCCATGCTCATGGACTAGAAGAACAAACTTTGTTAAAATGTCTATACTACCCAAAGCAATCTACACATTTAATGTAATCCCCATCAAAATACCACCAGCATTCTTTCCACAGCTAGAACAAACAATCTTAAAATTTGTATGGAACTACAAAAGACCCCAGATGGCCAAAGTAATCCTTAGAAAAAAAAGCAAAGCTTTAGGCATCATGATTCTAGACTTCAAATGATATTACAAAGCTGTAGGCAGCAAGACAGTATGGTACCAGCACAAAAACAGATACGTAGATCAATGGAACAGAATAGAAACCCAGAAATGAGTCCACAACGATATGGTCAACTCATATTTGACACAGCAGGAAAGACTATCCAATGGAAATAAGACAGACTCTTCAACAAATGGTGTTGGGAAAGCTGGACAGCAACATGCAGAAGAATGAAACTGGACCACTTTCTTACACCATACACAAAAATAAATTCAAAATGGATGAAAGACCTAAATGTGAGACAGGAAAACATCAAAATCCTAAAGGTACAGGCAACAATTGGTTTGACCTTGGCCACAGCAACTTCCTACTAGACACATTGCTGGAAGCAAGGGAAACAAAAGCAAACATGAATTATTGGGACTTAATCAAGATTGAAAGCTTCTACACAGCAAAGGAAATAATCAACAAAACAAAAAGGTAGCCTACAGAATGGGAGAAAATATTTGTAAATGACTTATGGGAAAAAGAGTTAGTATCCAAAATCTATAAAGAACTTATCAAACTCAACACCCAAAAATCAAATAATCTAGTTAAGAAAGGGGCAGAAGACATGAATAGACATTTTTCCAAAGAAGACATCCAGATGGCTAACAGACACATGACAAGATGCTCAACATCACTCATCATCAGGGAAATACAAATGAAAACCACAACGAGATACCACCTCACACCTGTGAGAATCGCTAAAATTGACAAAACAAGAAACAACAGGTGTTGGCAAGGATGTGGAGAAAAGGGAACCCTCTTGCACTGTTGGTGGGAATGTAAACTGGTGCAGCCACTGTGGAAAACAGTATGGATGTTCCTCAAAAAGTTAAAAATAGAACTACCCTATAATCCAGCAATTACACTATCAGGTATTTACCCAAAGGATACAAAAATACAGATTTGAAGGGGTACGTGCACCCCAATGTTTATAGCAGCACTATCAGCAATAGCCTAATTACGGAAAGAGCTCCAATGTCCATCAACCAATGAATGGATAAAGAAGATGTGGCATATATGTATACACAATGGAATATTACTCAACTATCAAAAAGAATAAAATATTGCCTTTTGCAATGACATGGATAGAGCTAGAGTGTATTATGCTAAGTGAAATAAGTCAGAGAAAGACAAATACCATTGGATTTCACTCATATGTGGAATTTAAGAAACAAAACAGATGAGCATATGGGAAGGCGGGGGAGAAGAGAGAGGAAACAAACCAAAAGAGACTCTTTCCAATTTTAGTATACGTGCTGCCGAAGCGAGCACCAAAAGAGACTCTTAATGATAGAGAACAAACTGAGGGTTAATGGAGGGAGGTGGGTGGGGAATGGACTAGATAGATGATGGGTATTAAGGAGGGCACTTGTTTTGATGAGCACTGGGGTGTTGCATGTTAAGTGATGAACCACTGAATTCTATTTCTGAAGCCAATATTGCACTGTATGTTAACTAACTAGAATTTAAATAAAAATTTGAAGAAATAAAGAAGTGAAGAAACAAAAACACAAAAAACTCAGAACTAAAAATGAAAGTTAAGAAAATATAATTTTAAAAAACCAGAAGTGAAACCTATATTAGCAT